CCCCCCGCGGTGAAAATGTTCCATAACTCACTGGAGGGTGTGGTACTAGCCCTGTAAGTTGGGTGCTAGGTGGGTGCAATAGGGTGCTAAAAAATTGGACCTGTTGGAAAACCGGGGGGGGCTCGCGTTATATTAGCCCCCCCCCCCTGATGAAAATGTTCTATAACTCGCTAGGGGGTGTGGTGCTAGCTCTGTAAGTTGGGTGCTAGGTGGTGCTAGGTGGGTGCAATAGGGTGCTAAAATATTGAGCCTATTGGGAAACCGGGGAGCATGGGCGTCGTTTGGGAGGGGCATTTGCCCCCCCCTAGAAATAGTCTTTTGAACAAGAAAGCAGTAAAAGAGAGTTCGTATCCGTATTGCTTTTTCCCATTTTTTCAGAATTTGTTGGGTACTTTGAAAAATTGGCTGACATTTTCATTACATTCAACGGAATGGCATGAAATATTGACAGTTGAGTTGAAGAGGGCGCTTCTGTACTTGGAGCTATTTAAATTTTGGCGCGTAAATATTCGATTGTAATTTTAACCTCAAAAGCTAAGTCCTGATGTGTGGTTTCAAGACAAGCTGACGCTGACACGTTTAAAAATATTCTCTAGGGGCCACTGAACGCTTTGGAAGATATTTTAACTTATTTATTGTCCATTGTTCATATGTAGTCATCTTTCCTTCTACTCAATTTAAACGGTTTAAAACTATTGACATTTACCGCCAAAATTTGAAGCAATCCAAGTTCACTCGCGCCCTCTACAAAATTTTCAAGAACTTAACTGGATATTTGCTGCCATTGAATTTCACTTGACTTAGGGCCGGTATTATAAAACACTGAACCGATGGTAGAGTTCCAACATTCGGTTGAATCCTATCAATTTGCATGGAGTCAACCCAAGGTTGAAACTCAATCATCGATTCAGTGTTTTATAATACCAGCTATTAGAAAGTTACCTAAACAAATGCAGTGACGACGCCAGGGTTATATGTTAGGGGGGGCAGACTAGTCCAGAAAAATTTAGGGGGGGGCATTTGTTTTTATTTTACTGCTTTTCTTCTTTGGAATAAAAAATGGGAAGTACCTGTCGACAGTGTTATGTTTAAGGTAATCCCAGGAAACCGAAAGCAGCATCGTAGTTGCCTGTGCTCAAGAACACTCAACTTAATAGGACTGCTTCTTGAGCTGAAATGTCTGCCATCTCAGCCGAACACCTCAACACTTGGCGTAAAATGCATTAACCGAGTTTAAAACAGTCACAGGTCACAGCAACCTGAATCGCAAACATCCCATCGAGGCCTGCGGGTAACGTCATCATTATAAGCTGTTATGCTATAGTAGTGACGTCACTCGCAGGCCCTGCCGACTCGAGAGTTGACGAATGTACGCCTTATGAGGATGAGAATTCCTGTTAGTTTACGATTCTTGGCCTGTGCTCACCGAATACCGAATTAACCGACAGAGGCTTCTGATGTTACATTACATTTTTGCCGACATGAGAGCAAGTTTTCAGGGGGGGCCGGTTAAATTTCAGTGGCGGCCCCGGCCTCCTCTGGCGCTCCCATGGCGTCGCCACTAAACAAATGATGCGGACAGTGAATTTGTTGTGGAAAAAAATACCATCATTTTCACTAGTGACGAAAGTAAATTATTACAATTTGACATGCTATACTATATATTTAGCGGAAGAAATGCTACGAGTTTGCCAATTTAACCGATTTTGTAACTCTTTATAATAAGCGAGATAACAATAGTGCCGACTTGATATCAAACACCCCGTATAATCTTTGTATTACAGCAAAAGTTTGTTTTGAAGTACTTTCCATTCCACATCTAATATACAGGGGACAATTTTCAAAATTAAGCAACGCCGCAACACAAAATGAATGAACTTATTTTTGACAATTAGTTGACAAAGACGACATGTGCTCCTTTGGTCAAAGTCCGACTTTAAATTAAAATATTTATTTTTAACGTTTCTACAATAATCTAAAAAGTGGCCGTTCTCCGAAGATAACCGTAAATAAATCCGAAACCGTGCATAACAACCCTATCAAACTATGTATATATATATTTGTCTTTTTTAAAAGCGCTATCAAAAAATATAAAATATACAGGGTGTTCCATTGAAGAAAATTAAATCTTATGTGTCACACTTTTTTGACACCTCCTGTAGGTATATACGCAAATAAAAAAAATTAAAAAATTATTTATTTAAACCCTACCCTACAACTTTTGTATTTAACTTTTTGTCATAAAATATCTAGATTTCCATATACCAATATAGGATAAAATCAAAATAAACGGGCCAGCCTGTACATACAATATACAGTTTCCTGCTGGGTTGGCACAATTGAGTTGGAACAATGCTAAAGGACTGGAAATTTAGTATCCCCGAAGCATATAATTTGAACTGCAAAATATGAAAGGTTCCAAACTCGTTCCGAATGAGTTTTTTTTATCCTTTTTTCCACAGAACACAAAGCTAATGGGTACATTCAGGCGGTGCCAGCGGCTAAGTTCAACCACTCAGCAGGGACTTTATTCCCGAAACAGGGGAATATTTCCATAACACTGACAATGACAGAGCAATCGTTCTCATGAGAACGCTGTTACTCGGTGTCGAGAATAAAATCCCTGCTGAGTGGCTGAGCTTAGCCGCTGGCAGTGCTGGCACTGCCTGAATGTACCAATTCGCAAGGAAATGCAGCATCCCTGCTTTGCGAATTGAATTGGGGTCTAGATGTGCTCAGAACAGTCTTGCTGATCAAGAGCAACAGAATCTGGAAAGTATTGCCACAGCCACCATTGCATGCCTACATTCAACCACCAAATAAAATAGACATCACCGATGAGCAAATTTTAAAAAATCCAGAGAATAGTATATTTCGTAGGGCGGAAAGTGCCACTTTTTCGCACGCGGTTGCAGTTCAAGCAATCAAGTTAGGAAAAGAGACTTCCCGCACGAATTAAGAACGCTATTTTTCTACACACACTAGTGCAGAGAAAGTAATGCGGAAAAGTGGTAGGTATTTACTGTCATGACCTAAAACGAATGCGGAAAAGTGGGGTTTCACGTAAGCTCGTAGCAAGTATTGTTCAACTAACGTGCGCAAAATAGCACTTTGCCGCATACAGTTAAGTGTGTAAAGTTATGTTTGTCCAACAAAGCGCACCTGTAGACTTTAACACAATTTTTTTCTTATCGGATATGTAGCTCGCAGGAGAAATATTGTTTCTAACACGTGCACAAAATCTCTTTCCCGCGCTTATAATTTATTTATTTATTTATTTATTTATTTATTTACGGGCAAGACCCATTAAAAAAAAAAAACAACAAGAAACATTAAGTACCTTACAACTAAATAAACATAGGCCAGTAATACTTGGCGTAGTGACAGGATAAAAATACATATAAATTATTAACAGTAAAACATTAAATCAGTTATAGGTATAAGAAAATAGAGGACAAACATAAATAATGACTGATCAAGATGACTAGAAATTCTTAGCTATCGAACTTGGCATCACAAACAAACAAGGAGAATTACATTAGAGAGTTAAGCTCTCTTTTAAAGCTATTTATGGGTCCAAAAAAATCCAGGCTACCATGGGTGTTACCTAATCGAGAAGTTCTGGAGATGAATGTATTGAAACCATAGTTTGTACGGTGATTTCTTTCTGAGAAGGTTATGGCAGAGCGGGTGTCCCTTGCTGGGACGTGAAGCCCTATTCTGGACAGTAGGTATGCGGAATCACTAATGGAGTTCAGTACCTTGTAAAAAGTATATAAATCTCTTTGATTGCGTCTAGCTGCCAAGGGTTGTAGATTGAAGCGTCTGTATAGGTCGTCATAGTCATACACATAGTTCTCAGGCGAAGGAATACCTGCCTTGAAGGCTAAATAACGTACGAATTTGCGCTGCACTAGCTCTAGGGCTCTGATATGATTAGAATACATTGGTGATAATCTATCCGAACTTCACTTTGCATTGCTTGCCAAATGTTTTTGCGGGTGAGAAAGTATTACTTTGCGTACTTGATAGGAAACTAACATTTCATCTTTTTGGAAACAGATAAATCATGTCATAAAAAATTGTTAAAATATGATGGAAATTAGAGTTTTTTAATATTTTAATACCGAAGCTAACTAATCAATTAACAATGGTAGGGAGTGTGCTCGATGACCAGAAAGAGAACGCACGATAGGATAAATTCGTCGATATCTGCTGCGTCAAGGGCACGAGTTGTTGCTATTGCCAATTAATTTTCAAAAAAACCAGGTGTTACAAACAAACCTTTTTACATCCTGTATAATTGATTACTAAATATAGCGCGTGTATAAATAAATCATTTGTGACTTTCGATCCAGAATTAATAGGTACTTATGCAATGTTGAATGCATAATATTATGCAATCGGTGCAGCGAAAATAGGATGTTTGTTTTAAAAATAGCAGATGAATTTCTCATTAGAGTAAATGCATGGTGACTTTACATTTAAATTTACAAGTTAACCATAATGATATTTATTTCTCAGTAGCAATTTCCTATTAAATTATAATTTTTGCTTAAACTTATTTCTCACCTGTAAAATGAAAGCGTAAGTAATTTTCGCACAGGTTTCATTTTTATTCAATATTATTATTACACAAAACAGCTGACCTTCTCAGCATCAGCGCACTGAGCAACAAATAGGTAGAGATCAATAACACTAGACCGCTTGTTCATTGAATCTAGCCACACGTTACGAAATACTTAGTTCGACATAGTAAAAAAATTCAAGAGAATGCAGGATTGATTATTTTTTTGTCCCAGTCAAGATCAATGAGAATGGGGTCAATGATTTTCATGATGTATGCCCCCTGCAAAAAGTGACTTGAAAACATTTTAGGCTGAACAAACTGACTGAACTAACATTCTTGTTTGTGCACGATATATATTTTGGGTAGAGTAGATTCGAAGATAGGTAGGTATATCATTAGTATAGTTTTGAGAAAAAGAAAATACACAAACTGACTAACAAAAGAAATATAATGTATAACTAAAAACAGTTGTTATTGTTAAGTTTGCCTCTTATTGCTAGGTATATACATATGAGAGTTTTGTTTTTACAACATTTATAAAGGGGGGCAAAAAATTGACTAGAAAATTAAATTTCCCTATCTTACTACTCACTTCAGTAATAACCAATTTAGTTCAGATTTATTTTTCATAATACTTAATCTTAATTTATACCTACTACATGAATTGCATCTTATATTGCAACTGAAATCGAAGTTGCTACTTATTGCCTAGTGTTTTTTCTGGCCAAGCTCAGCCGATTTCTTGGCTGCAGCCTCTACTGCATTGAAAAGGGCCGCCCTAGAAATAGACCAGCCAATTGTCACCACATCTCACTAAGTATTTATTATATACCTGACACCACCTGATTCCAACGCATGAACTCCAGCAATAGTGGTGCCTCCTGGTGAACAAACCTCATCTTTTAAGACAGCTGTATGTTTTCCCGTTTCTAAAACCATTTTGGCACCGCCTAAGGTAGTTTGAGCAGCCAGTTCTATTGCCATTGCTCTTGGAATACCTTGTTTTACACCTGCGTCTGCTAGTGCTTCTATTATTAAATATATCTACCAGAGAAATTAGTTTATCATTTAACGAGTATATATATTATTAGCATCTGAGTGATAAATAATTGATATGCATTCGTGTATCCCATCGTGTATCCCATCAGCTTATCTGATTTTGCTCTATAAGAGCACGTGTCCCAACTCCCCAACAATAGTCAACCTATCCCAGAATGCAGTCAGATTCTACCAAAAATTACAAGAGGCAGTCCCTTTTTTTTAAAAATAAAAACCATTTTTTTTATTTTTTTTTAAATGCAACACTGTGTTGTTCTCATTAATTACTTAACAGTATTCCAACTTGGAACAATTAAATATACTTACGAAAGCAGGACCACTGCCAGATAAAGCTCCTATAGCATCGATCATTGATTCAGGAACTTGTTTACAAACGCCGGATACTTCTAAAATTGTCTTGACTAATTGTATGTCATGCGGTGTTGCCTTACTCCCTGGACTAAACACTGTACACCCTTCTCCTACCATCATTGGAGTATTCGGCATGGTTCTTATTATTCTTGGACATTCTTCCAAAGGACTCAGAACCTGTATTTAGTTAAATCAGTTATAGCTTTTTTTTAATGACAAATTCACTTACATTATTTAATTGTTCCAACTTTATACCGGCCAAAACAGAAACAAACAATTTCGATTTAACAGGCAACGGTACTGTTTCATATACGTTTGCTATTGCTGAAGGTAGGACATGTGGTTTCATAGCTAAAAATATAATATCAGCTTCTTGAACGACGTGACCATTTTCTGTGGAAACATGAGCCTTATTTTCGCTCCACCAGGTGAGGTTTTCAATATGCGGTCCAGAGACATAAATTTGTTGGAAATTGACCAGTCCTAAAAAATAAGGGTCAACTGAACTCTTTACATTTGTTGATATATCAATAATTTTTGTATCAAATCATTCTAATAAAACAATTGAATCTAGTCCATATTTTTGTTAGTGAGTCAAAAACTTTAGCCAATATCAGTTTGACCATGCAAATAGTTTGGACTCTTCTGAGTAAGTTTATCAGTGTTAGCAGGCCACAACAGTCCACAATGTTATGAATATGTCACTTAGGACCAAAATTATGGACTGACTAGCAGGGCCGGATCTAGGGCGGGGGCGAACAGGGGCGCGTGCCCCACTTCGCATCTTGAGGGGGCGGCAAAAAGAGAAGACACTGCCTAACTTTTTTTTTCATAAAACATACATATCTAGCGATTTTTTTTTTAAATTCGTTATCTAATAACACATCTTCTGATAGAACAGCCGACCACCCCACAGTAACCTTAGTCAAGGTTCCCTGTATTATGCTGCCCTCTCCGGAGGAAATAGAGCTTTGACGATGGATCACGTTGTAGATTGTAGGTTGTAGGGGAGCCGTTTCGGCTTTTCAACCGCTCAGCACTGGCCCGCTAATAAGATGCGTTGCGCAATATTGGCAGACAAATAAATACAATAAATTCAAAAATATCATGCCATAAATGAATAATCAATTGCCTTCTGTTGTACAACAGTACAATATTGAATCCGGCTCCAGCCACAACTGTGTATTGTGCGCTACCCGCCCCCAGATAAAAGGACTCAAATATTGAGCGATTAAAGAAATTAAGTTTTTTTAATCAATCTTTGATATTCCAATACATTTTTTTTGGAGCCTTGGCCCTTGAAATACGTCTTTGGGCGTGGCACCGGAAAAGAATTTCTGCCTTTGGTGGCACCTGCGGTGCGCTACAACTACTGGATCCCACGCGCTGGGCTTCAACTACTGGATCACTTTAGGTGTGAACCCCTTCCAGTATAGACCACGAGCCGCTACTGCTACATATAAATAAATTGTGGAATTCAACACCTCAGTTTTGAATATATACATAAAAAATAATATTTAACAGGGGGCGGCAATTCATAGGGCTGCCATTTATGAAATTTGTTACCTAGGACAATTTTTACAAAAACCCCGGATTCTAACCCCTCAAACCCGCACACCACTAAAGGGTAGCCCACCTTAGGCGCCGCCGGAGGCAGAAGATTTTTTTGGGTGCCACGCCCAAAAAAGTTTATTTCAAGCCTTCGAGAAACACTCATTATTTTGACAAAAAAATCATTTTTTTGGGGTTTTTTATAGCTTTCACCGAGCTCCAAACATGACTAACGAGTAACGACACGTGAACGTGAAACTCGAGTCGCGCACACCCGGGCTAAATAAAACTGATGATGTCGATTGACGATTTCCATGATTCTTGTCAATTTCGCGGAGTTATTCGTGATTTTTTTCAAGATGCCGTAGAGCGTAAAACACGGATAACTTCAAAAAATCCCCCCGGACGCCTTTAAAACTAGGACAAATCCGGGGAAATTCGGACGGATGGCAGCCCTAGCAATTCACATCTTTGCCCCCCGTCGAAAAATTCGTAGATCCGGCCCTGCTGACTGGTAAACGTCTGGTTGCTACCTAGCAGGTACTTTCTATGCAGTAGAGTAGAGAATAGAAAGTATCTGCTAGGTAACAACCAGACACTTACCATTTGGTTCATAATTTGGCCCTTAATCAAAAAAGGTTCTCCGCCGTTTGGAAAGTTGCATCAGTCACTCCGATATACAATTCCAACTCAATCAATACTCAACAACATGGTTTGTATCAAAATGAAGTATAGAATTTTTAATACCTATTTGGAAGTTAAATATTGTGATACCTGATGATGGTTGTAACATAGGGTCTTGTACGGGTAGAGAGTTAGGAAAAGAACAATTTATTAAATATCTTGGAATATTTGTAGACTGTAACATGAATTTTAAAGAACATATTGAACAACTTAAAAAAAAAATTGAGATATTTGTTATTCATTTTTGCAAATTTAAGAAACTTTCTTAATACAAAAACTTTAATATCTATTTATTATGCGCTATTTGAATCAAAAGCAACATATGGAATAAAAAAAATCATGGGGAAGCGCATATGGTAATGTCATAAGCTCTCTCCAATCGATTCAAAATAGAATTGTTAGGCTAATTTTTAAAAAGCCATCGGCACAACTCGATCAGTGTTATAAAGAAAACAATCTACTAAAAATAAGACAAATATATTACCTTAAAGCCATTACAACAAATCATTATAATAACTTGAAATCTGAATATTTACATACAAAACAAATAACTAGAAATAAGAGCATTCCAGTAATGAAAACAAAGCTAGAAGTAGGCAAAAAAAGCACAAAATGGATTGCTATAAAAATATATAACTTACTAGATGATGACCTAAAAAATTTTAAAAATTTTTAACTTCTCAACAAAAGCTCTCAAAATTAAGATAAAGTCCTGGATCTGTCAAAGAAATTTAGAAATTAAAATTTTTATATAAATAACCTACTATTATGCCGGCCCTGGTAATTATTACATATTTCCGAAAGGAGTTTCAAATCCGTTATTGTTTTGATTTTTTTGTTTTGTTATTTTTTTTGAATTATTGTTATACCTATAAGTATAATAAAATATAGGTACAAATAGGTACTTTATTTATATTGTATTATTTAGGTTTGTTGTTAAGTGTAGAGGTGAATTGTGATTTTTCACGTTCATATTGACGCGCCAAGCCTGCAAACAGAACATTTTGTGTTCTCAGCAGGATAGGGTATACCGATTATAACGAACGTAGGTAACATAGGTACTCTAATGTTTTATGTTTACTCTGCTTTGTATTAAGGTTTGAGTCGTTCTAGTAGTGCATTCTAGTGACTTAACGTATGTCGCTTCTTGAACACACAAATAAAATTAGGTCAGGAATTTCCTATTGGTACATGAAATTGACGTCTTAGCAATCGACGTTCGTTTTTGTTGGTGATTTTTTGTTTCATCTGATTCGTGATTGATAAATAAGGATGGGGTTATTCTAAATGGGTATTAAAAATACTATACCACAATTTGCCTTCTTGACTATCTTAACAACTGTCAACTGTATAGAATCATTAGATAAAAAAAACTCCCATTGATGTCATATACCTGGATTTTGCCAAAGCATTCGATCCAAGCCAGAGGCTTCTGCTAAAACTGGATCATTTTGGTGTGAGACGGGATTTCCTGCTTTGGACCAAAGACAAACAGGGAGTACAAAATCAGAGTTTGCGACTCATACTCTGAATTCTATCCAGTACAAAGTGGCGTACCTCAAGGCTCCCTCTAAATTCTATATAGTACAAAGTGACGTACCCCATAGCTCGGTACTTGTACCTCTGTTTAAAACTCGCATTATACATCTCCTCAACATAAGCCGCTTTCCAGCTGACCATTTTGAACACGCAATCGAGCGTTTGCGAGCGCAAATGCTTCAAGCGCGTGTTCGTGTTCCAGCCGTACTGCGCCGTGCTTGAAGCACAAACACAATGTCAGCTGGAAAGCGGCTCTAATAATCAACATGCGCAGCGTTCGCCGACGACATAAAAACTTAGGGTCCCGCCAACAATTCTGACTCGCTCCAGAACGATTCAAATCAAATCTAGAAGTGGTGTGAGGACTGGCAACTACCCCTTGATACTGGAAAATGTGTGGTAGGTACTCTTTCTGAAGCGCAGTGTGAAAAGCTTACGACAAAGAATGACCTCAAATATTAATCCTTCAAACTGGGAATTCCGAAGGAAATTAGTGAAAATCTACTAAATCCATACATTTGGCCAAGAGGTAGGTAAATAAGTTTTTAAGGGACAAGTGCCGATTCATGTACTTTAAATGAAACGGAACTGAATGTTTTTTTTCTAATCTCTACTTCATCGATGCTGACATCAATGGTGAATTGCGGAGTTTATGGAAGCGCTTGAGGCTGGTATAAGTCTTTGCGTTCTATTAAGAGACCGTAAAATGGCAAGCACCGGTAAAGTCTCGGTATAGTGGTATGAGAATGACCTCCGGCAACAGCGTGAAACTCTTAAAATTTCTCACAGAATTATGTTATTGTAGGCCAACAGAAGAGCTAAAAGTATAAAGGACTACAAGAGGTTTTTCAGGGCATCATTGCGAGACTGAAAGTGCAGAGCATACTGTCTGAGCCTCGTGGGATAGTGTAAATCATTTCAAGGATGGCAAAATAAATTCAGCGGAATCAGAATCACTGACAGACCAACACTTCGACAACTTTTTTTCAGGCATAGCGGAGGAATGCTTAAGTCGTATCCTTCCCACAAATATGACACACAACGACTACCTTGTGGAAATTGATTATCAGCCAAATGCTTTTGGATTCGCTGGTTTTATTCAAGTTCGAGAAGCAAAGACTCCTTGAAAAACAAAAAAAAAGTCAAGACATTTATGGCATGAGTTCCGCATTGCTGAAGTCTTTAAAGGATGTTTTGATACTAGTGCCCCTAACAAAACTAATGAACAGCTGCATAAGATTAAGAGCTGGTATTTTTCCATCTGTTTTGAAGAAATCAAGAGTCGTTCCTGTATTTGAGAAGGGTGATGTGTCTACCAACCTATCTCACTTGTCCCAGTGATATCCAAGGTATTTGAATGCTTACTTAAGCATTAACTATATTCATATTTTGAGAACTCCAGACTGTTATCTGAATACCAATTTGGCTTTAGGACCAACAAGTCAACTGCTCAGGGTCAGGCTGTCTTGGAGCTGCTGGGATGTATAGCGGAGGCATTTGAGAGGGGGCTGTATGCATGTGTCACATGCTGCGACTTCTCAAAGGCATTTGACTGTGTCACTCATTGTATTCTTCTGGACAAGCTTAGGGCTTAGGGTGTCGATGACCGCAGTGTCAGTCTGCCGAAGCACTACTTGGAAGACCGTACCCAAATCACATCATACAAGGGAAAAACATCTAATAAGGCAGTCATGCAGTTTGGAGTGCCT